CGGTCCGGATGGAGCGGGGCAGAAAAGCGCGTCCCGCCAGGGCCCGCAGCCCACCCGCGCTCCCGCCCCGGGGCCGCCAGCGGCTGCGAGCCATGCCCCGCACCCTGCCCCGGGCCCGCACCCGCACCCGGCACCTGCCCCGCACCTTGCTCCGGGCCCGGAGCACCTTGCACCGCGTCCTGCCCCGCACCGGGCGCTCCGCGCCCGTCGCCGCCGTCGCCCCCCGCCGCCCCCCGGCCATGCCCGCGCCCCGCCGGCTCTGAGCGCGGCCGGAATGGAGCGGGAGGGCGGCGGCCCGGGGCCCCCCGCGCCCCACGAGCCCATCAGCTTCGGCATCGACCAGATCCTGGGCGGCCCCGAACCCACGGGGCCGCACCGGGCGGCGGCAGAGCCCGACTACGGGCTCTACGGCAGCGGCTACGGCCCCACCGGTCCGCTCGGTTCCTACAACCTCAACATGAGCATGAACGTGAGCGTGAACGTGACCCCCGCGCCCGCCGCGCCGCCCGCTGGAGTCATCCGCGTCCCGGCGCACCGGCCCGCGCCCGCCCCGCCGCCCGCCGCGCCCGCCGCGCCGCCGCCGGGGCCCGCGCTACCGGGGCTCACCTTCCCCTGGATGGAGACCACGCGCCGCATCGCCAAGGACCGGCTCTCAGGTGAGAGGGCGGAACGGCTGCTGGCGGCTACCGGCGGCTATTGACGGCTCCGGGGACTCACGCGGCACCGGCCGCTCCCGGGGTTCCGTCGGGGGCAGCGCGGTGCGCGGATCGGGGCGGACACGGGGATGGCGGGGACCGTGAGCTCCACAGGTTCCCACAGCGCCCGGTCCTCGCCCGCCGCCGTCGGGTCCCGCGGAGGCGGCTTGGGGTAAATGCGGCCGCCGGCGGCTCCACCGCGGCACCGGGCAGGGTCCGGCGGCTCCGGGTGGAGCCCGAGGGGTCCCAGCAGGCTCCGGTCTCGAGCTCCATTCGTGTCTGGTCTCTTCTCCGGTTTGGAGGTGCCGGTTGGCGACCCTGTCCCACCGTAACAGGGAGCTGCTGGAGGCTGTGGGGAGCCGGGATGTGGGGTGGGCGCTCCGTGGGGTGCAGAGTGAGGCCTCCCTCGGGACCGAGAGTGGTGGGGTGTGGGCTCTGCGGTGCGTGAGATGCGATGTGGGGGCTCTGTGGGGACACGATGAAGGGTGGGGGACCCACCGTGGGACTGCAGGACAAAGCCCATCCATGCAGAGCAGATGCCCCGGCCTTGTGAGCCCCTGAGGTTGGGGGCAGTGACGGAGGGGTAACCGTGGGGTGTCTGGTGATGGGACCCCAGATCTGAACGTGCAGGGATCGGTGTGGGAGAGCCCAGGCGGGCCTGTGGCGATGCAGGCGCTGGGGAGGCAGCGAGGGGTTGAGGGGAGGCTGCTGGTGGGGCCGTGGCAGGGGCTGAGCAGCAGTGCTGGGGTGGGGGTGCTGCTTGCTGCACCCGAGAAGCAGGAGGAGTGCTGAGGTTGGGGTCCCGGGCACTGGGACCGTGTGTGGGTGCTGGGGACCCCCGGCCCGGCTCAGCTCTGCTCCCGCCCAAGATGGCGGCACTGCCACGTCCACAGTGTGTGGCCGCAGGCGGGGACGAGGCTGGAGGCCATGAGGGGCCGGGGGCCAAGTGCCGGCCATGTGGGCAATGGGGCGGTGTGGGGCGGGAGGCTGGGGACTGTGGGGGTCCCGCCCGGACGCCAGCAGAACCACGTTCGCCTCCCGGCCCACCCTGCCATGGCAGCGGTGACGAAGCACCGTCCCCGCGCAGGGGTGGCGGGTGACGTCCTCGTCTCCTGCCTGGCGCCAGTGTTGGGTGGATGGGGCAGCCCCTCCCCGGCACGGGGTCTCGCAGCCGCAGCCATCACTCAGCACCGCTGGCCTTGGGGTGGGCTGCGGGCAGGAGGCATCTGGTCCCGGCGAGGGGCCGCCCCGTGCGGGGAGGGGGCACGGGGGGCCTCCGTCCCCCCTGACTGCACGGCTCCACCTGCATCAACCGTGTCCGCCCCCGCCGGCGGCCTCCTGGGCGCGGGTGGGAGGTGGGGTCTGTGGGCACCAGGGGGTCCCTGGGGTGCTGTGGGCTGTGCCCCACACCCCTGTGCCATGGGGGCTTGGGGTCCCGTGGCCACCAGTGGTCCTGGCCATGTGCAGCCCTGCCCACGCGGTGCTGGCCCTGGTGATGGCTGTGGTGCCATGGCGCCGTGGGGACGTGGTGCCGTAAGGTCATGGCTTGGCCGAGGCTGCTGCCAGAGCAGGAGGGGTGCAGGCGTTGGGGGTTGACCCTGCCAAGCCTCTGCTTTCCTCCCTGCTGCTTCGCTGCTCTGATGTTCCGGCAGCTTCTGGGGCTGGGACGTGGCACGCTGGCCTCACCAGGGCTGGCTCACACCTCAGCTGGGCAGGGACATCCCCTTTCCCAGCCTCTGGCATGGCTGGCACATGGAAAGAGACACTGCCTCCCAACAGCTTTTGTGGTCCCATCCCCTCTCTGGCAGGGCTGGGCAGCCCCTGCAGCGCCGCGGAGGCTCCTCGGGGGCTGCGGCGGGGCTCGGTGTGAGGGGAGGGTGGGTTTGTGCAGCCCGTTCTGCATCAGTCCTGTGAACGGGCCAGCCCAACCACCCCGACATTCCAGCGCTGACCACCGGGCTGGGGGAGCAACTGTGCCGTGGGGTAGGAGATGGGTCTTCCTTCATGTCATGCCTTGAGCTGCCCTCCTGTCTCTGAGGTGGGGGAGTAGGTGGGGATGACCCTGAGTGTCCCCCTCCCCTACTCTCCCTGCCAGCACCGGTGGCTCCCCTGGAGCTCCCCATCCCCATGTGCCCCTCTGGAACACCCCATCCCCATGTGCCCCCCTGGAGCTCCCCATGTGCCCCCCCCTGGAGCTCCCCCTCCCCATGGCCCCCAGCTCCCTGCCATCCCCCCAGGGTCCAGCTCTGCTGTGCTTTGCCGGGGTCACCCCTCACCCCCTCACCCCGCTGTCCCCACAGCCGCGCTGTCGCCCTTCGCGGTGACGCGGCGCATCGGGCACCCGTACCAGAACCGGACGCCGCCCAAGCGCAAGAAGCCGCGGACGTCCTTCTCCCGGGTGCAGATCTGCGAGCTGGAGAAGCGCTTCCACCGGCAGAAGTACCTGGCCTCGGCCGAGCGTGCCACTCTGGCCAAGGCCCTCAAGATGACGGACGCCCAGGTCAAGACCTGGTTCCAGAACCGCCGCACCAAGTGGAGGTAACAGGGACGGCTCCGGGGTAGCCGCCACAAGCGCCATGCTCACGTCCCTCTGGCAGCCACCCCAATAGCCCCAAACCCCACGTCCCTCCAGCAGTGAGCCCCCGGGAGAGGATGGGACTGGGATGGACTGGGGATGGATGGGATGAGCTGCCCATCACCGTGGCCTCCCTTATGCACTGCTGGGTGAGGTGTGGCGGTGTTGTGGGACGTGGCACAGTGGCACACGGCGGCGATAAGGGGACGAGGGACAGTGCTGTGGGGCAGTGCCAGCTGTGGTCTGAGCCAGTGGTGGGTGTCTGCAGGCGTCAGACGGCGGAGGAGCGCGAGGCGGAGCGGCAGCAAGCCAACAGGCTGATGCTGCACCTGCAGCAGGAGGCTTTCCAGAAGAGCCTGGCGCAGCCGCTGCCGCAGGACCCGCTCTGCATGCACAACTCCTCGCTCTACGCCCTGCAAAACCTCCAGCCCTGGGCCGAGGACAACAAGGTGACGTCGGTCTCGGGGGTGGCCTCTGTGGTGTGAGGGCCCTGGGTGCTGCTGACGTGCCAGGAGGTGGCAGTGGGAGCCAGCTGGGCTCTGAGCCTGGACCATGGCAGGGAAGGGGCTGCAGCTTCCTGGGAGCTCCCCACCGGCAGCCTCCTCCCTGCCGTGGGGAGCCCCCCAGGACCACCCAGGAGGGAGGCTGTGCCCCTGTGGTTGGACTCAAAGCTTCACCAAACCCCACCTGGAGCACTGCTGGGTGTAGCCCCCTGTGTGGATCCCCAGGAGCCCAGGGCTGGGCCCCCATGCCCTATGGACCTCTGCAGCCCCCTGTCTGACCCCCAGGAGCCCAGGGCTGGGCCCCAGCACCCCATGGATGTCTGTAGCTCCCTGCTCAGACCCGTGAGAGCCGACGGCTGGGTCTCTACACCCCACAGACACCTGCAGCTCCCTGCCCGGACCCCGGAGAGCCCAGGGATGGGCCCCCACACCTGGCAGGGTTCTGCAGCTCCCCCACCAGCACCTCCGTGGGTCACACTGACTCCATTTGGACCCCACAGCCTCCAGCCCACCTGGAGCAGGGTGGGGCGTGGACCTCCCATTCCTGGTGCTGGTGCTGACAGCCGGGTCTGCACCGCCCGCACCACTTGCCTTATTCCGGTCGGAGTTTGCCACCTCCGGCTTCCATCTGTGCCCTCCAGGCTGGATGAAGGACTTGGCCACCCCGGCCTCGCCCCGTGGTGGGACAGACTGATGTCTGGGCCCCCGGCCCCCCACCCACTGCTCTGTCAGCTCCCCGAGCCTGGACATGTCCTTGCAGCCCCCTGCCGTGGACTCTCGGGGTGCCCCCCGTGCCGATGGATTGCACCAGTCCCTGACTCCCCCGGGACTGCCATCACCTCCCACAGACTGAGCCTTGGTGTGACCCACGGGACACTCGTGGGGTGCGGAGGGGCTGAATCCCCCTTCTTCTGGCAAATCTCTGCACCCCCTCCCCAGTGACCCCCTAAGTGGGGGTTCCCCCCGCTGGGACCATCCAGCCCGACTCCAGCCCCTGCTGCTGATGATGAAGGGAATGAAGGGGATGCGGGGGGATAACAGCGGTGGCCTTGACCCTGAACTCGACCTTGCCCCCCACCCCACCGCTATCCGCGATACCGCAGCCCCTCACCCCACTTTTGGGGGACAGGCTTCTGCCGGCTCCCCCTCTCTATTGCTACCGGGAGGAGTCGGACACCCGGTACCGGCGGGATTGGCTGCGGTTCCGTGACGCGGAGGGGTGGAACCGCATTACCACCGGGATGAGTGCGGCCGAGGGCCGGCCCCGGTGCCGGTGGGGCGGCGGCGAGGCGGTGCTTCGTGCCCGTGCTGAGGCCGCCGGTTACCGGAGGCTGCTGCGAGCCCGAGCCGCCGAGGTGGAGGCGTTGCGGGGGGCGGTGGGCGCGTTACACCGGCAGCTGGAGGGGCTGCGGGACCGGCGGAGCGGGGAGCTGGCCAAGTACCAGGTGCGGGATGGGGAGGGGGCTGGGGGGCGCCTGGGGGGTTTGGAGAGAGCGGGGGTGGGGGCTGGGATGT